TTTTTTTTTTTGAAAAGTGCGAATTAATAAGAAAAAAGCTATTTGTCCCAGTCATGTAACTACCGCTGGTTTGCTTTTGAACCCAAAGAGCGTATAAAGAAAGCTGTTCCTGATCCTAGACATTACATATATAATACAAATTGCTGTGACATGCTTTACAAGCACACATGCTTCACAAAAGATGTCAGTAAGACAATGAAGGCTACAACGTTTTGCTGTCACATTCTCTTGTTAATTCTTTCTTGTGCTAATTCATGCTCGTTTTCAAGTGTTAAAATACTTTTCTAATTGCTTTGCTAAAATAATTTTTTTAGCCTATACCTCATTTCCAAGTTTTTAAAACATAACTTTTCATAAGTTGTTGAAGAAGCAATTTTAAGGGACCGTACTGGCTGGGGAAGGAAAAGGAATTTCAGAAGAGCAACCCACTGGTGCCTACTTTCATAATCCTATGTTCTCAAATAGATATGCACCAACCCCTTAGTGATAATTTAAGCTGCATATCAAAATCAGAAATCTTTCTTGTTATAATAAATCACTTAAATTGTCTAGCTCAAGCTGCAAAACGCTCTTTTGATGTCTGCGACCAAGACATTAATTCTAATTCATAAAATTTCAATTATTTATGGGAAGATCCTACACAAACGGGGGTTTCGAACTAGGTCAGTTTTTGTATAAGCAACATTAAAAAAGAGAAATAACCTTGCCAGATAAGTCTGAATGAGCGCTTCAACTGATCACTCATAGATGATGTCACTATTCTGAACCAAACAGTAAGTTTCCTTGAAGATCTAAAAACATCAACTATTATGCTTAAGTAAGGTGTTTATAACCTATTATGCTCGGTTCTAGCGCGCAGAAATTCTGAAGTTTCTCGAGTTTATGAAAAATTAACTTTTTGTTGGTTTAGAAACCGTACTGTCATCACAAAAGTTCAGAACAAATTCGTGATATTAGGCTAAGAAAGTTCAAAGAAGTGCGATTTGGTAAAGAATAGTGGCACGTTAAGTTATCGGGAAAATTATAGGCAAGTCGTTTGGCATGGACAGTGTTCTATAGAATAAAAGTTTTCTTGCTTGTTTATAAAGAAAAAGTCACCTTAACAGTCGCGGTCAATGTTAAGAGTGGTCTTCTTTAAGTACACTAAGGATGTTTACACTGGCTATATTCAGGGCACTAGTAGACATGACATGGTTAAGAAAACTTTTTCTGTACGCATTTAACTGCTAATGTTGTTTCTTGTCTTTTTGTTTCTGCTGTGCTTCATATGAAAGGTACGGAGCACAAACGCAAACGACAAGAAGAACGTTTAACAAGAAGAACATGCTCCTAATTTGGCAATTGACATTCAACTGACATTTTATTGGAAATAGTCAGTTCTTTGCAACAAACTGATAATAGACCAAAGCAAAGAAAAGACTGCTTATCAGCTTCGACATAAAAAGGGACATTAAAATATTTACAGTGCAAAAATTTATCATATTTGTCTCGAACATGTCTCATGGAAAACTATTCAATTAATTAATTTTTCCATCACCAGTGATTGGATGTCATATGTTAAAAATCACCAAGTAATAGATTAACGTCTTTGAAAGACTTTTTTTCAAAATAGTTAGCTTTGCGAACTCGCTCTGGATTTCCTGCGTTTATAACATTTACGAGGGCATACAAATAATTTTTGGAATAAAATTCCAAAAATTGCGTTTTTGTTTTCTACGCTCTTCGTACTTAAAGTTTATCCAGTTTTGAGGATATATTATCATTTGCTGCTTCTGAAGCACTTCTAAGCTGAGCTGACTGGAATGAAATTATTGTTCTACATCGTCTGGATTTCCGCATTGGCGGACACAGCTGCAACATTTAAAATTGCAATATTCGTACCTGATAATGCAAATAGCCAAGTAACTTTAATACATAAAATTCCAAATTAAATGCATACAACCGTATCAGAATTCCGTAGGTTTTCTTAAATTGCAAGTTTAAAATCATTTTCTCATTTTTCGACAAAATTTTGAACGAAACTGATGAGGAAACTATTTTTCAAATTATTGTTCAAATTTTACTATTAAAATCTCTAAAAAACTACCGTATGATTTCATCAGCAAGTATTTCTGTTCAAAAGATTTCCAGGCGATATGGAGTCACAGAGTTGCGCAAACTTTGCAAAAAGCGGGTCATCAGGTTACTCTAATCAATCTCGTCTTGATACCAATACGAAGAAAAAAGCTTCCACCTCCTGAAGGCATTGAAGGTTCTCAGACATTTGTCAAGACTGAGTGTTCCTTAAAGAAATACAAAAATATGGCGAAAAAAAAATAAACCTGTAGTAGGTGAGGTTAAAACGTAACAGGTCCAACCTTTTTGTTGAAAAATTTATAAAAAAAAATAGGTGTACATGTTTTTCAAACTTACCATGCCTTCAGTGAGAACACGCCTTGTACGTAAATTTCCTCCAAAAAACTTCTTTTATAAATCAGATTACTATTCATTTAACCAGCGATTCTAGATAACAAAATTTATTAACACTTAACTACTACAGAATGGAATGTTCTGCAATACACAAAAGAATCTGGAACAAACGAAATTCTTGAAATGATAAAGGATGTTTTTGGGGTAATGTTTTGTTCTGCTAATTAAATGTAGGTAATTTCAGAAGATTTGTTTTTTACTTGAGCAGAAAGTTGGTTGTTGAATATGTTGTGAGAAAGTGTAAGGTATTATAATATTCTATTTACTTTTTAGTCAGCTTTTCAACTTTGAAAATTTTTTTTAAAATTTTCAGTGAGCTTTTTTTAGGATACATCTTTCTTAACAGGCAATGAAAGAAGACTAATGGGACTTATGCGGAAGGCATCAATTGAAGGATGTAAAGGTTATAATTTTATTTTATAATGAAACTGATACCAACTTTTCACATTTGTTAATTCATTATCGATGATAACATCCAGAAATTAGTAACAGGTAAGCTGAACTAGAGATAAAAGAAGAAATACCAACCGCAAAACGCATTCTTTGAAGATGAGACAACATTAGCAAATAACCCTAAGTTTGAGATAAAATTTAAAGTTTAAATAAAAGTAAATGTTGCAAACAGACAAAAAAGAAAAATTTCTTTTAGGAGTGTTTCATTTTCATTTATGCCACAAGAACGTTGAAGAAAATTTTTGCGGTCTTGATTCACTGCCTTGACTTCACCAAAAAAGACCTTTTCAAATTTTTTTTTCTAGTAAAAGGCAATTTTGGTGCTTTTCCAATACGGTCTGAACGGCTGACATGATAAAGCTTAGACAGGGCCCCTGCTCTGCGAAAATTGAAATAAAGCTTCCTGCGACTATTTTTGAACTTAAGTTCCAGCAGAAAACTCATTGTTGCTTATTATATTTTATACAAATTTACTTATTACCAAACAAACACTTTATACTTAGTATTGGTTGAGTACAGAAGCCGAAAGATTTAGCTTAACAAGAGATTTCTTTATTGATTTCAAAATGCAATATTTTCACTGTCATTTCTCTTGCAAGGACTTCATATTCAGCGTATGGTTAGGAAAGTTGAACCTCAAGACGAATGTTTAAAAAAATGTCAGAGGGCCATTTCATGCCAAATCGCACACCTTCGTAATCACCCTCTCAAATTTTTTTCATTTTTTGCTGATTAGTAGAATCTAAGCTGGCATAAAGAAAGCCGCAAAGAAAATCCGGAAAAGTTAATTCCCCGCCAAGTTGAACCCCCCCTCCCAAAGTTGCAAAATTTGCCAGGTTGCCGGCTGACATGCCTATCTTCGAAGACTCGTAATTCAGTTCGTTCTTAACGTAATTAAACGCTTTTTGATTTATCTTATTTC